AATTTGAAAGTGTGGTCTAATTATATTTTTTAAAAATTATAAAATTTTTTGCTTTAATTATTTTTTATGTTTTTATATTATTTTAATGTGTTGATGTGAAAAATAAAAAAAAATAAAACATCATTTTAATATATTTTTAAATAAAAATATTTTAAAAATCAATATATACTACTATTATAAATACCTCTAAGCTTATGGAAAGGCTATTAAGTAGTGCAGTAAAAGATGTGTATTTTTCAGGCTCCATTGTTCATTTTTTTACACATTATTGTGAATGAGTTGTAATTTTTTATATCTTTTTAATTTGATTCTCAAATTTTTTTTCTTTGATAATTTAGTACTAATTGAAGATCAACTGATCCTCTGTTTTTTTTTTAAGGTGGGATTGAAAAAAGAAAGATCAAAATTTATATAAAAAAATCAAGTATGGATAGCATACCATATGTTTCATAAAAAATGTACTTTGATCCTTAAATTTTAAAAACTATGTTAATTATACAATTTCAGTATCACAAATTTAATTTTCAATTTAATTTTTATAAAAAAATTATTTTTATTAATTTTTAGTTCCTGATTGAGAGAGAAGGGAGGGAGGTCTTTGAATTTTGACAATAGAAAAAAATATCATTAACATCAATTTAGACTATCAAAATAGATCATATTTGTGTTAAAATGGTTCTATTTATTGAGAGGAATTTATATTAGATATTTTTATACTTTTAAAGTTCAAAAAAAATAAATTTGAATTTGAATTGATTTATATTTTTGGAGTGATTTTTAAGATTATAAATAGATTTATCATGATTCCTACTATGTTCTAAAGGTGCTTTTAGATCAAAATGGATTGAAATGGATTTTTAAGTTAAAAACAATTTAAGTTTTAGTCATCATAATTGTTAGAATCTAGGTAAATCAAATGACATGATATTTTAAAAAAAAAAAAAAAAAACATATCATCTATTCCAATTACAAACAAAAATAAAAATGTAATCCAAATTAATTAGTACCCTCTTCTCTTTTCCATTTTGTATTTAATTTTTTTTTTCATCTCTTTTCCAAAAACAACATATCATCTGTTTTTTTTCTAATTTGTATTTAATTAGTACCCTCTTCTCTTTTCCATTTTGTTTTGATAACTTCTTTTTTTATAGACAATTGTTTTTAGTTATACATCCAAAGTTAAAGAGTTTTTCTAATTAATTTATTTTTTTAATTTTTTATATAAATTAATTTTTTAAAATAATATTTTTAATATATACAGTCTTGCATGATTTTTATCCTTTTGTGTCTTTATTTCTATTATTTGTTTCTTAAAAAAAATTATTTTAATAAATAAATTTAATAAATATAATCGAGTAAATATTTTGTTTTTTAATATAAAATATCTTGATTTATATTAATTTTTTAATTTTTATTTTTAGATATTATTAATAATTTTTTATTTATTTATAACATATATATTTCTCAATTTATTTGATTTTATATAGATATATATATATGCATAAAATATGTTATTTGAATTTAAATTTTTTAAATTATAAAAATAAATTTAAAAACTTATATAATTTTTTTTTATAAAATATAAAAATATTTAACCCATCTATATCAGTATAATGTCAGTCGGCTCCCATTGCTTTTTGAAGGAAATCTAGTGCGGTAGTATTTTCCTTAAATTAATGATTAAAATGCTTGCACTAGACTTAGACTCAATAGTGATTTCCATTTTCTCCTCTTTTTTTTTTAGAAGTGCTGTTGACTTTACAATGGAAGTAAAAGAAAAATATTTGATAATCTCTTCAAAATTCATCTTATCAGACATATTTAACAAATGATGAAGAAACATATTTAACAGCGAAGAAAAAAAATGACATATTTTCAAGCTCATCGTCAAAATCCGCGTGTGGAAATTAATGGGATTTTACTTCAAAAAATTTTTAAAAGTAAAAATATATTTGGAATTATAATAATAATGGTGATTTAGAATATTTTTTATTTAAAAATATATTAAAATATTTTTTTTATTTTTTAAAAATTATTTTTTATATCAACTCATCAAAAGACCTAAAATCATTAAAAAATTATTTAAACTAAAATAAAATTAAAAATTTTAAAAATATAAATCACACTTGTTTCCAAACACACTTCAAAGCATTCATGAGAGAGAGAAAAAAAATCAAGCACTCAATAAAGAATTCAAAAATTGGGTACAAATTAATGTGTGAATAGACGTGTAAAATGACTAATGAGCATAGGCTGGACGAAGCTGGCACGATCCATCACGAGGCTGGCTGGCATGCCACTTGAACCATGCCCAGGAGTCGCGGAGCCCAAATATTTGGCTTTAGCAAAACGCTGGATCCTTAAACCGTAATTTAGCTTAGTTTTTCTTAATGTTTGAAGTCGAATCTACCATGTATAATTATTTCAAATTAATATTTTTAATATAGAAAAATTATCAAACTTATTATTTTACATATATACCTCTCAAAACTGATGAACATATTCAAATATAAAAATCAAACTCGTTTTAATTTATTAAAAAGTAGATTTGATTTTTATTTTTTGAGTGATTTTATAGTATTTTGGGGTTGAAAATAGATTTCTCAAGATTTACAGGATATTTTAAAAGTGTTTTTAGATTTATAGGATATTTTAAAAGTGTTTTTAGATAAAAATAAATTAAAAATTAATTTTTTAAAATCTAAAAATGCTAAACTTTAATTTTCTAGTCATCACATATAATCTTTTTAAAAATAAAGCAAGTGAGAGTTCTTTTTTACTACAAGAAACCTATTTTCGATTAAAAAAATAAAAGTAAACAATACATCATCCATTTTTTTTAAATAAAAAACATAATTAGACATGCATGAGCTATTTTACACCTAGTCAGAGATAAAAGGCACACATGGCTAGAGGTATGAGCCTCACCTGGCCTCTCTTGTTTGTTTGTTTTTTTTTTTTAACTTGAACAATATCCTCTTTAATTTTTTAAATTGTCTTGCTTATTTTTTTTAAATGATGATTGATTTTTTAAAATATTTTCTTAGTTCTACAAAACTTTGAAGAAATTATTATAATTTGTCTATATAAATGAATTGTATTTTAATAGAAAATTTGTAAAAAAACAATTGATATTAAAATTAACCTCAAACATAAAATAAATGAAAATATATAAAATAAAATATATAGCTAGTGTAAAATATTTATATTTTTATTATCTTTGTTTTACTAGAAATGTTAACTTATCACTTTATTATTTAATTAGCATCAATACCTTTTCTTAATATATCATTTAATTTATTTTTTTAATTTATTTGTTTAAGTATAAACAACATCCTTTTTTTTTCAATTAAAATAACTTATGATACTCAAAAACACATCCATGATATAAATGGCTTGTTCTTTTACATTAAAAATTAATTTAGAATCTTACCTGTAAAGTAGCATGAATATAAAAATAGCTAAGAACTAAAATAACTATATAAGAATAGGTTTAGCTAATTATCAAATAATAAAAAATAAGTTGCACTATAATCAAAATTTCATTTTATATTGGCCCATCCATTCTTTAAGGGGGGTTAAATTAATTTTTTTAACTTAAAAAAAATTCAAATATTAATAACATGTTTTCTAATATAAAACAATTGTGAGAGGTTGTCTTAATGTGAATCGATTAACTTAGCGGTTCAAAGACAATTTGAATAACAAATAAAAACTTAGTTTGATTAAAAAAATGAAGATCATATTTTTTTTATAAATATTAAGATGACAACATATTTGATTGATCTGATCAACTTGAATTAACTAATCAAATAACAGCTCAAGTCATGACATCATGATAACCGTATATATAAAAAAAAATTATAAAACTTAATCTCCAATTAATCAAATATTGAATGATGATATTGAGAGAAATCAAACTAAAAAGAGGGAAAAAAAACTTATATCAATCAAGGTTAACCTACCAAATTCATGTTTTAGATCATTAGACTAAAATAACCTTATAGAAAATAGGTAAAAACAATTATAAACCCCAATCCTTAATCAATCCAATATTAAAAGATAAAATTGAAAACATAGTAAATTAAAAAAACATTTTTTACTCAAAATAAATATTTAAGATGAGATTTGGTTTAATAAATATTAAAACAACAACATATTTGATCGATTCTAGTTAACTTGAGATCACCTGCCAATTCTCAATTTAGTTATAAGATCATGATAACCCCATAGAAAAAAAAGTAAATTACAAAAATAAATTTTCAATAAACCCAATGTTGAAGGATTAAACCGAAAAAGAAAATCAATTAAAAAATGACCTAAAAAATAACTCGAGTAAATTAGTTTATCTTGCCAAACCTATGACTAGGTTATGAGACTACAATAATCCAATAGGAAGCAAATTGAAGGAAATTATAAAATCTAATTCTCAATCAACCCAGTTTTGAAATATGAAATTGAAAAAAAAAACATTGATTAAAAAAAAGCATGAAAAATAATTCGTCAAACTCGAACCTAAGTCATAAGACAAGAATAATTTTATAGAAAATAGACCAAAATAAATCATGAAACTTAATTCTTAATTAATCCAATATTAAATGATAAAATTAGGAGAAAATTAAAAAAATCAATTAGAAAAACAAAAAAAAATAGAGTCAACCCATCAAACCTATAGTTTGGATCATAAGTCTAGAATAATCTCATAAAAAGTATATTGTAAAAACTTATAAAGCTTAATCTTTAATAAAAAAATATATTAAAAGATGGATTTAAAATTGAAAAGAAAAATATAGGTTAAAAAAATTAAATAAATAGAATTATACGAGAAAAGGAACAATAAAATCCTCTCATTCTTTTTTTTTTTTTTGTTAATGAATGATGTTTTTCCCTCAAGAATTAGATTTTGTTAATAATAATTATGCACATAATGGAACACTATTGATGACAATTACACTCTTTAAAAAATAAAAAATAAAACCTACGTTCTTGATCATATTTTCACAATCAAATGTAATTTATCCTTTCTCTTTGAATTCCTCAAAACTGTATCCTTGAAATATGAAAGGATAGAAATAAATTTTACTGCCTAAAGCCAACCATGACCATATTCCCACCCCTAAAAGATTCAAAGCTCTTGAAAATGTCTAAACTTTGACATGAATTTTTGCTTATCTAGCATCAATTAATGTGACACTAACTTCATTGACAGAGCAAGATTCTTGCTTGCTTGATGAAGAATTTGCATCAATCAACTTTCTTTCTATGTAAAAACCTGGCTCGTTTGGTTGAGCTAGTGTCCCTTCACCACTTAGCATTAGTACCACTGTTGACATACTTGGCCTATCTCCTGGGGAATGTTGAACGCATAACAGACCAATATGGATGGACCTCATCACTTCATTTTGATTACAGGTTTCCACTATCAAATCATCGACTAGCTCCAAAGCTCTTCCCTCTTTGAACAATTTCCATGCCTGGAAATTTTAAGACATATTTTGTTATTACAGTTGTTTTCATGTGACTAATAAAAGAGATTAGAGGGGGGTTAAAATCACTAATTAGCCCTTACATGACCAAGAAGGTTGAGTTGATGTCCTGAATGATGAAATCCCCTATTTCTTTTCCCACTTATAATCTCTAACACCAAAACACCAAAGCTAAACACATCTGATTTTATCGAGAATAGACCATCAATTGCATACTCCGGCGACATATAACCACTGCATAATATCAACAAATTGAACAATGAATTTCAAGTATATATTAAGGTAATTCCAAACATTTTATTTTCTTTTTAAAATAAAGAGATGAAGAAAAAGAATATCAATTTCTTACTATGTTCCAACTACTCTTTTTGTATTTGCTTCTATTTCATTCCCTCCGAAACTTCTAGCCATGCCAAAGTCTGAGATTTTAGGATTCATCTCTTCATCTAGCAAAATGTTGCTCGGTTTAAGGTCTCGATGAATGATTCTTAATCTGGAGTCTTGATGAAGATAAAGTAGTCCTCTTGATATGCCAATGATGATATGGAACCTCTTAGTCCAATCCAGGGCCTTGCTTTGCTTTTTATCTGTTCATTGCATATTTATGCTCATTTTAATCCAATAATCCATATAATTAATAACCTAATATAAAAGCTTATCAATTTAATAAGTTCTTACCATTTATGTAGAAGTCTAGGCTTTTCTTGGGCATATATTCATAAATCAAAATCTTCTCATCTAGTTGAACGCAATATCCTAGCAGCTTTACAAGGTTTCGATGCTGAAGTTGCGCAATGCATTTAACTTCATTCATGAACTCATTAAGCCCTTGTTTGGATTCCTTGGAAAGCCTCTTCACAGCTACTTCTTGGCCATCTTTAAACACACCCTGCCAAATATAAAAATATATAATTAAGTTATTAAAATGATTTCTTATACTAATACGTCATAACATTGAATGTGGACCTCAATTTCAGGTTAGTTGAGTGTTCATGTCATGTGATGAACACCTTAATTCTAGATATCCTTTTTATCTTAGTATATGAGAGTAAATATTTTAATTCATAAAGAAAAGAACATAATATATATTAGTCTTAATTAATAATTTTAATTAATGTCCAGTCTTAGTAGAACATGGACAAGGAACATTTAGGAATAATATTGTAATGCAATAGAAATCTTATAATTATAACAACTTTGTAATGTCTTATTAAAACATTTTTATTCCATATATTATCTTTACTTTAGATGCATTAATCAAATATTATATTTATTTATCAAATATAATTGAATATTAAAGATAAGAAAGCCTTTATTAATAATAAACATATTTTACATTAATAAAATTAGCGCTACATGTAACCAACCGTTGACTATAGATCATATTCACTAATAATAAGTTATTAGATATATAAAAGAGCTTAAATCTACAATTAGAGATAAAACAGGGCTTCAGATGTTGTTAAATGTTATTAATGTATAAAATATAGGTTTAATGATATATATATATATATATATATATATATATATATATATATATATGTAGGAGAAAACTAATATGAGATTTAATTATCAAATGAATGTTCTTACCATTGAGCATTGATTTACACCTTTTAAAAAAGGTAAGTTATCAAAGATAATAAACAGTCAATCCAATCAAGCTAATATAACTCCGATTATAATAAAAATAGGGCCTAAGTAATTCCTGACAGGGATAATTAGAAAAGAGATAATTCATATACCAAGTCACCTTCCATCAAGTCTTAAATATGCAATTATAAAGGCTATAGATCCAATGTTTATCATCAAAATAGGCTTATAAACACGGATGAATGCGAGGATAAAACATGTAGACAAAGTAAGGAATTGTATTCGAACGAGTATTATAAACCTAATGATAAAGGTAAATATGAGAATGATGATGGTCATACCTATATGGTGAGATGTTTATTATTGGCACCAAAAATTAATAACGAGACACAACAACATAAGCTTTTTCATACTAGGTGTGTGATAAAACCAATATATTTTTAACGTTATAATTGATAACAATAGTTAGGAGAATGTTATTGGTAGGGAACTGTTGAATTGAGTTTGTAAATTGAGAAACATCATGAACCTTACATTATAGATTCGATTAAAGAGGTACCAAACATAATAGTAATGGAAAAATTCAAAGCTTTTTTTATATATATAAGCAAGTATACTGATGAAGTTTATGGTAAAGTAGTTAATAGAAATGCTTGTACTTGTTGTTTGCTAGGCCATGACAACATAATATGAATATATGGCATAGAAAATGGGAAAACATCTAAAGATTTGTAAAAGATGGGATAGATTTTACTTTGATACCTCTGGAGGAGAGTTCTTAACCAAAATTTTAAAAGGCTAGAGGAAAGGTATAATTTACTGTTAAGTAGCCTTTATAAGAAATTAAAACATATTTGAAGAAGATAAATGAAGCAAATACTTTAATTGTGAAGCTTTTCTTATTGTTTAAAGAAGTTGACAAGGTAGAAAAGTTCTCTAAAGTTGTTAAGTTTTTATTACAAAAGTTTCAAGAAGTTATTTCATATGAGCTACTAGATGAGTTACCTTATACATATGATATCTAACACTTGATTGATTTAATAAGAGGGTTAATCTTTTAAATTTTTCTCATTATATAATAAGCCTAAAAAAAGGAAGATCTTAATGAAGAAAATATAAAAAAATGTTGAAAAAATGGTTGATTCAAGAAAGCTTAAGTTCATTTGTTATTCGTGATTTATTAACATTAAAGAATAATGGTAGTTGGTATACATGTATTAATAGTCACGCTATTAATAAAATTACTATAAGATACAAGTTTTTAATTTCATGATTAGGTGATATACTAGATCAATTATATGAAACAACAAGTTTTTGAAAGTTTTACTTAAGGAGTATGTACTATCAGATTTAGATTTAACTAGTTGATGAATGGTATATGACTTTCAAGATAAAAAATGGGTTGTATGAGTGGTTATTCATATCATTCAGCTTAGTAAATACACCAAACACATTCATAATACTGATGAATCAGGTTTTGCAACCTTTCATAAATAAATTTATTATTGCTTATTTTGATGATATCTTTATGTTTAGTCATAAAAAAAATAAATCATATTAATTATTTATGGAGTGCCTTATAGGTGTTGCTGAAAAACAATTTGCAATAAGTTTGAAGAAATGTAGCTTTATGATTAGTAAATTATTATTATTCTTAGGTTTTCTAGTATGAGATGATAGAGTTAAAGTTGATTAGGAGAAAATGAGGAAAATTCATGATTAGCCTATACCTAAGACAATCAGTGATGAATAAAATTTTCATAGTTTAGTTTTTTATCTATATGAAATTTATTCAAAATTTTGGTAGCATTATATTGTTGATCATCAAATGTTTGAAGAAGAGGAATTTTAGGTGGGATGAGGGAAAGGAATAAAATTTTACCTTAACAAAGGAAAACCCTTGTTTGAATAATAGTAGTAAGTTGAAAGTGACATATATGGAGGGGGCGTTAGAGTAGTTCTTTCCTAAAAGAAACTTCTTACAGCCTTTTCTCAGTGAGAAGTTCAATAAAAATCATTTAAAGTGAACTTTTTATGATAAAAACTTTATAATGTTGTAAAGGATTTAAAGATTTATGAGCATTAATTGATTAATAAATATTTTATCTGATATTCAGATTATTAAACTCTTAAGTCTTTAAATAGTCAAAAGAAAATCAATATTAATATGATGACTAAACAAATTACATTCCTTTAAAGGTTTAGTTTCATTCTAAATTATAAAACTGGAGTTTAGTAGGAAGTGGTTAATGTATTCAGTAGGCGAGTTCCACCTTTTATAAAGATATTTTAGGCTTTGAGTGTCTGAAGAAGTTGTATGTTGAAGATACTGATTTTCAGGAGATATGAAAAAAAATGTTACAATGGTCAAGTTAATAGAGATTTCCATATACATAATGTTTACTTAATGAAAGGTAATTGATTGTGTGTCCCTAACATATCCCTATGTAAAAAACGAATTCAAGACTTATATAGTGGCAGATTAAAGAGTTATGAGGAAATAAACAAAACAATGTCAACTTTAAAGGATAAATATTGTTGGCCTCAACTAAGACGTGATACAAATAGATTTGTTTAACATTGATTTACTTTTTAAACAACTATAGGGAAATTCTAAAACATTGGTTTATACATGCCTTAACCTATACAAGATATTTCCATGGATTTTGTGTTGGGTCTTCCATAGTATTGATTTTGCTTTTGTTATTATGGATAGATATTAAAAAATGATCCATTTTATACATTATAAGAAGACTTCAAATGCTATCAATGTAACTAGAATATTTTCCAAAAAGATAGTGAGGTTACATGATGTTCCAAACTCCATCACGTGTGATATAAATAATAGGTTTTTAGTTAATTTTGGCTAACCTTGTATAAGATGTTTCATTCTTATTTGAAGTTTAATAGTATTATTTTTCTATAAATTGATGGCCAAATGAAGTCTCTTAACAAAATTTTACACAATCTAATTCGTATTATTTATAGAGTAAGCCTAAATAGTGGGGTGGTGCCTTGGTTTAGGTAAAATTTCCTTACAATAGTTTCAAGTATAGTGTTATTGGCAAAACATCATTTGAGATTGTGTACATGTAGCCTTCAAATCATGTACTCAATCTAGATTTAGTGCCTAAAATTGATAGGATTAGTTAGTCATCAAAGAATTTGGTTGAACAAGTAAAAGTTGTGCATTAAAAGGTTAGAAGAAAACTTTAAGAAACAATTATAAAAAATAAACACGCAAGAGACAAGCATAGACAAATTAAATTCAAGAAGGAGATATGAGAATGATTTACGAGTATATCCAGGACCTTCAAGTTTGGTTGGTACAAGGTGTTGAAGAAAATTAGTAATAATGCTTATGTTATTAATCTTTAAAATAGCATGAGTATATCCAGAACCTTTAATATTATTAAGTTTTACGAGTATTTTCTAGATACTAAAGTTAATTCGAGTATGAGTTTTTTTTTAAGTGGGGGTGATTATTGTAGTAATTATCATAGGAATTTATGGACCAAATTGTCAAGGCCAAACTGCTTTTTCTAAGTAGCTTGATAATTTTAGCTAATTTTAATTTAATTAGTATTGTACTAGTTATGACAGTTTTAATTAGGGATTCTTTTTCATAAAAGAATTAAAATTATTATAAATAAGAGATGTTTAGTTTATTTTTGGAGAATCCAAATTATTATTCAGATTTAATAAAAATATCAAAGAATTTTTTTAAAATTTCTCTATAATTAAATTTGTAATTTTAGGGTTTAATAACCGTAGTTTTATCTTCGTTATGTATTATGTCAAAAGCTCAAGTTGTTACCTTATAAACCGGTCCAAATCCACCCTCCCCAAGCAAATTGCTGAATGAGAAGCCATTGGTAGCAATAGCTATTGTATTCAAGTCATAGTGTGGTAGATCAAGATCCTCCTCCTGGTAAGGTATTGTGAAATCATCTTCTGGAATCCGCTCCTTCCCTGTGAAATGGTAAAGAGGGTATAAACAAAAAAATGCAGTTGTAATCTTCTTTCTAATCCTACAAGTTATAACCTCATGCATCTCATTCATGACTACAAAATACTATAGAGGGTCAAATATGAACTGAAACAAGCCTTCTTCTCATAGTTACTTGCATTTTCAGTATCACGAGTTTCCATATCTAAACATGGTCCAAAAGAAGCATTCCCACATAAATCAGAGAATTGATTTAAGGGTAAATGTTACTTACTTGACCTCCCATGACTGCTATTATATTTGTTTTGTTCCATCTTTTTCTTCCGTATGAGCAAACATATGCCCAAGCATACGACGAGCAATGGTGCCAATACTGAACCCAATATAACAGCAGCTTTGTTATTCCATTTGGAGCCCCCTTGACCTTGATTTGCAGCAGCTACAAGAAAAATAGTCATTTCTCAGTAATTAATTTGGAGAAATACTTCCACCAGAAGGCAGACAGTGACACTTGAACATATTTTTAATTTCATTGTCAAGATGACATTTGAACACAATTGACTGTGCATATGGATGGTTCACTCTTGCTTTTTGCACGGTATTGTGAGCATGAAAGCAAATAGAAGAGCTAAGATAGATGCCCCGCACTTTCTTGTGGGTTGTGCTGATTTTTTCATGCAGAGTAAGAAAATGATGCTAAAGTGCTATTATTGGATTTTAAATAACAAAAAAATCCACGACTCAACATTATAAAAATAAAACTAAAAAAATAATAATTGTTAATTTTCCATAATAAAAATATAAAAGGATAAAATTAATAAAAAAATATATAAAAATAAAACACCAACAAAACTAAGTAAATTGTCAAAACACATGAATAGAACCAATCATTATTTGATAGGTAGCTTGTGCAATGTTGCAGATCTATTATTTTTTTAATCACAAAAAATATATTAAGATGTGTATTTTTTAATAAGAACAAAATCCAAGATTATCATCATTGACTCAAGATCCAAAGATATTAAAAAGTAATGAAGAAAATAGTTGAGCTAAACCTAGCAAACATGTTAAACCCATGACTCGAGACATAATATTGGGATATCTAAATAAAAAAAAGATAAATAAAAAAATAATATTATAACTAAATAGAAATAAATAAATAAATAAAGAATAGTAATTTAAAAAACAAATTTCCTTCAAGTATTGCCTCAAATTAAATATTAGGGATGCAATCAATAAATTTAATAAAAAACCCAAATAGGCCTAGCCATTATTTTCATCGTAGAAAAAAATATGAAAATGTTATAAATCTTGTAAACTCAGGTTAAATTCTTAAACTCATAATTCATGAAATTCTTGACTTAGGCTCAACATCTAAAAAATTAAATATTAGATGATAAAATTAATTAATTCAATTCAATTCAAAAACAAAATTCCTTTAGAAAATCTAAATTTAACAAAGCTAGAAATAAAAATAAAAGCAAGATGACCCATGTTATTTTAAAATTGACCATAAAAATCTTATAAAAAGAAAATAATAAAAAAATAACAGAATGGTAAATAATGGAAAAAAATGCTTTAAAAAAAGCAAAAAAATTCACGGAAACCAATGTCCACATTAACTTCATTAATCATAGGCAATCGTTTTAATTTGTAAACAGTTAAATTCTACACCAGGACTAAACTAAAAAACTTAACTTGACTAATTTGTAACCCAAGATATAAAATAGGGATAACCTCACAAAAAAAAAAAGTTAAACAAATCACAATGCTTATAGTCCAATAATTCAATGTCAAATAATAAAAAAAAATTAAAACATTACCGAACTCAAATCAGGTCAATCATTAAAACTGGTGAATTAGTCATGAAAATAGAACAACCTTATCTAAGATAGAAATAATCATAAAGAAAAATCCTAAATCATAAAATATTAAAACAAATAAACAATGAGGATCAAATCTTGCACAAAAAATAATTGAAAGAAATTAATTAGAGACTAAATTGAAAACAAAATAAATAAAAAAAAGGATAGAAAAAGAGTAATGAAAAAAAATTTGAAAACAATTAATTAAAATTCTAAAAGGTAAAATAAAAAAATAAATGAAAAGAATGAAAAAAAACAAGCAAAAGAATGAGGAGCGAATTATAAATTAAAAAAACAAATTAAATTAAATGCAAAAAAGAATGAAATTAAATAAAAAATTTAATAATAAAAAATACCTTTTTGAAATAGCAAGGAAGACTCTTATGCATGCGGAGTATGCATTAACATGTTTTATTGATTTATTAATATTTTAATACAAAATTACAAAAAAAAAAACCTAAAGGCATGCAATTAAAAAAAAAAAACAAAAAAGAAGCCATGGTGCAAAGACTACAACACCTTCACAAGCTACTCTTTACATCTAGAAAGTCAAACGTCAACAATGCAATTTTACTTAAAAAAACAATTCGAAGACAAACAAATTTTTCCCTTGAATACAATTTTTTCTTAGCACCCAAGATATAAGCATTATTTTACTATGCAAATTAAAAGAAAATGATAAAAAAGCCCTTAGCAAAAGACTATTTTTTTTATCAGATTTCAACAACAAAAGAGTATTTTTACAGTGCATTATAAATATGAATGGCATCTTTGCCCTTGATAAATTCTCAAATTACATTTGAATCATGTAAAAATACAATTTTACTCCTCTTACCAAGACAATTGTTAAGTGCAGTAAGAGCAAAACTAATTACACTGCTTGAATTTGCAATAAATCTCCTGACATGCTATTTTTAATCATTGAGGCGATTTAGTCTTTTTTGTAACGTGAACAGAGATTAACAAGTCGATGCCAAAATCTCAACTTGGACGCAGTTAAAAATAGACGTTTCTTTTTCTCCTGTCTAGAAAACAACACATCCATATTGGATTCAAATTCAATCCTCTAACTGTTCAAGTCAGTCGGCTGGTTCTTTTTGTTATTTTTTTAAAAGAAAAAAAATTCTTGAAAATGATAAAACTGAAAACTCCAGAATTTTTCTTCAAAATATTTATGCAGAGCAATATGTTCTTAGATACCAAGCCAAAAATGTGTACTTACCTGCTTCAGAGGAAGCCATCCTAATGTAAAGATCCTGCCCATCATCTGTATACTGTCTGATATCAATCAGGTGTTCATCAAACCAGAGAAAGCATCCACTTTTTGCTATTACATCTGAATTGGCATAAGCCATGCAAGAACAATTCTTCAAGCATTCCGTCCTGCATTCTTCCGTGGTCATGCTTATATTAACCATCCAATTATTCGCTTGTGGCACTTTAACGTTGGAATACTTGATGAATCCATCTCCATTCTTGCAATCCAATGGCATCCTTCGAACACATCCACCAGACCAATCTGCCCTTTGCCACTGTTCTTGGTTTCCCGGCATGAATCTGTCCAAACAACTGCATGCAGGAGAAGTGCCAATGTTACACCTTCCATAAGCACCACATAAATTATAATTATCGCAGTTGTCCGCGGGTGCGCTCGCGTACACAATCCAACTATTAGTTCGATCAATCCAAGTAAGCCGATTCATGATACCTTCCTCAGACAAAACCAATGTTGTAATAACAGAAATATTATGCAGATCAAAAGTGAAGTATGCCTCCTTGTCATTAAAAACAAAGGTATAGTTATAAATTGGATCTGGTTTCAAATAAGGCAGACCGCTAAACCCGATGCCATTCCATGGCCCCGAACGAGACTTCAAATTTGAATTATGATTGACAACCAACTCTAAACGCATGGGGTCTACCTCAAAAGTATAATCACCTGGAGAAGGATCATCTGTGCTCTTCCACGACGATATGATCACATCCAAGCCTGAAGCTATACGTCCAACTTTCATTCCTGGTAGAAATGTATTCCCCGGATGGTGGAAACTTTGCCAAAAGAAGTTTTCCGGGCTTGGATCATCTAGATTTCTGACAGCAAGGTTTCCTGTTTCCAAAAGCTGCGCAACAGGGTTTCGAGCTTGCCTTGATATGTTGGAAGACCAAATAACACTGCTGTTCTGATTGTAAAGCATGAGGATTCCCCTTTCATCGACCTTGAAAACTCCGGATTTATCAGCGATCGGTTTTTCTCTGTTGGCAACCCAAACAACTCTTCCTTTAGATATCCTGTTGTACCATATTCCCAAGTATCGCTGTGTGGAATTTCCAGGGCTGAAAAACCCCATTCCATAGTTTCCACCACTTGATACAATGGTCTCCCCATCAGTGATGTTTTGGTTTGCTGCTATGGTGTCTGCTGCCAAGGATTTTGTGAAAGAAGAAGAGAAACATAAGCAGAAAAGAAGGGTAAGGCCAAGGCCAAGGCCTTTCATCTCTGTTTCGAGCAGAATTTCTTTTAGTTTGAGACTTACCGGCAATGGCATTGAATGTGTAATGGAGACTTGGTCAGTAGCCAAGTACTCCTCCATGATATTATATTATGTGTCAGTAGCCAAGTACTCCTCCATGATATTATATTATGTGACATATTGTTTTTATTATGGTATTCAAATGCTTTATTTATTTATTTTTATTTGGATGATTATGACATCAGTGAGAAACTGAGATTGCTTTACTTAATTAGTCTTTTACTAGTACAATGGTTTCCGCTCCTACTCCAGCTAGACTAATTTTTTTAAATGTAAAAAAAAAAAAAAACATTGATTGTAGGGATTTTTGTTTTTCTAATGTTATTAAACTCAGTCAAATAAATAAGCGTTGAAATTCTTTATCTTGGCTTTTTATCAAGGGTGACCATGCAAGAAATAAAGACTCAGGTCATACGTGACTCGGTTCGTAAATTTAATTAAATTTAATATTTTTAAAAAATAATTTTTATTTAATTATATAATAAAAAAAATTGTTCAAGATTGTGATAACTCTATACTAAAAAAAAAAACATTCACGAAATCTATTTTCCAATAAATTAGACACTTATAGATGAAATTAAGAAATTAATTAGACACTTATAGATGAAATTAAGAAAAAAATTTTTTTAATTATTATCAACATTAAATAAAAAACCAAATTACCCTCAAGATGATGATTAATCCTTTAAAGTCAAGCTTTAAAATTTAGTTTTTTTATTCAAAAACAAAAACCTTAGACACAATTTAAGTATTGTTTTGCATTTATAGGCATTATAATAACTTAACTATGCAAAAACTAGAAATTAAACAGCAATAGTAACTTCAATCAATAAAAAAATGGCTAATCCATAATAATTAAAGGAGGATGAGTATGAAAGTTATTATGAAAAAAACAACAACAAATTAACTATTTAAATCCATACTAATTGATTCTGATAAATCTTTTAAACCTAAGTTAATTTTCTAAATTCATAACCTATAAAACTGAAAACTTAGGTTCAATTAAAAATCTCAGCTATCAACCAACTTAATGATAAAAAATAAAAAAAAATATCTTAAATTAAAAAAAAATCAACCAACTTAATGATAAAAAATAAAAATAAAAAAAATCTCAAATTAAAAAAAATAATCAAATAAGAAAATAGAGAGAGAAAAAAGCGAATGAGCAACAAATATGAAAGGAGAAAAAAGAGAAGGGGTGGAATTAAAAAGGAAAAAAATTCAAAAACCATCTTAATTTAAAAAAATCAAAAAATTGAAAATCAAATCTAATAGAAAAAATTAGAGGATGTACTTCAAAAATAAAGAAGATTTGAGAAATGAATTAAAACAAAACAAATAGATATAAAAAAATCAAAGAAAAAATCAAAAGAAAAAAAACCCTGAAGAGCTAATATGAAAATATAAAGGGTCAAACACATATTTTTAAGGGTAAAGAGAGAAAAAATAGGATGTTGGTGATATATCAGTGGTCCAACGAATATACATGTTATATAGAGATGAAAAAGAGGTTGAAAAGAATAAAATAACATGACATAATTAAAATTTTGATCATTATATGTAATCATATGTACAACCCGAAGGTGGTAGAGTGGCTGGCATGCTGACGTATATAACACACTCGTTAATAGCTTTTGATTTTTATTTTTTGAAAACACCACCTCCCTTCAGGACCCAAGCATTAAGATGGAAAAAAAATATTTTTCAATTACAAATTAACTTCTCTAGTCAATTTTTAAAAATTAAAATCTAAGGGTTATAAAATAATCACTTTGTAGCAAAAACAAATATGAAAGGAAAAAGAGACATTAAACCATAGTTAACTAATTATTTGTTATTAAGGGTAAGAAAGTCATTTACCTGTGCGAAAGATTGATTAAAAAATTAAGACACCCCTTAAAAATTTAGAAATGACAAATGAATCAAAGAAAAAGACTATTTTACCCCTAAAAAGGATCTCAAGTGGGGTTTTTTAAGGACAAAATTATTAATTCACTATTACAATTCACGGTAAACTAGGATATATATACAATGATTTTTGTACATGTTTTGCTTTTCACTTTAATATCAATTTTGTAGAGCATGTATAAAATATCTAAAAAATATATGATAGATACCATTGTTAAAATCCAAGTCATTGATTCTTAATTTTTTTTAATATAATAATTTTCAATTACAAAAAACTTATAATCGTCTCAAGTAGGTTAAAAGATTTTTGGTTGAATAAGAAATTACTATGTAATATTATAATTACTAAAAGCCCTAACTGTCTTTAGAAATTCTAAATAAAAGATTAGTTACATAAAGAAAATATATTATTACATTTAGTATATCTTTTTTAAGATAAGTTGTATTGTTTTTCTTTCTTAGTAGTTATTATAGTCTAAAGGTGTTCTAAATTCTATTACCCTATTATGGAGGATTTGCTATGATGAACAAACTCTAGTTTTCTACATAAAAAACTTGGTCCAAAAGATCCTAACATAAAAAGATATATAAAAAAAAAAGCAAACTCATTCACAACTTGTATGTCGTTAAGGAGTTGAAGTTAGAAACCCAAGTCCAAAAGATCCTAACATAAAAAGATATAAAAAGAAAGTAAACTCATTCACAACTTGTATGTTGTTAAGGAGTTGAAGTTAGAAACCCATAAAAAATTAGTTATTATTAAAATTTTACATTTTCCTTTGGTATTCCAAATTGTTATGACATTTGTACTAGGAGACACATGTTGAAATATTTTCAATTATCTTTGAGGTTTCTTTCAAGCAAACTTAGTTTCTTTCAACTATGTCATTCTAAATAATATTTAAGATAAAATTCTTTATAATTTTTATCCTTATATTATAGGTGAGTAAATAGTATTACTTTTAATAATATTTTGGATATTAACCTCTATGAAAGTTTTTTATCCTTATATTAAAAGTGAATAATAATATATTATTATCCATAATAATATTTTGAATATAAACCCTATTATAGGTTTTTTATCCTTGTATTAAAATTGAATAAAATATTTTACCAAAAATGAGTTTTTTTATGTATTTTTTTTAATTATAGGCCAAAATCCTTTGAAATTCTCCAAATTGATTGTAAAATTCATGCAATACTTTTTTTATTTCTAAATATAAAAAAATATTTTTTTTGAAAATATTTCTCAATTTTTAGACATGCTCCAACATTTGTTTTAGGATTTTTTACTATGCAAGGAAATTTTTTATTTATTTAAAGAAATTATATTTTTTTTTTATTATTGATAGTTTTAAGGCTTTGTTTGGAAATAAAAACCTATTATTTTAGATAACTGTCAAAATAGACCTTCGAGAATATTTGTTGAACATATTCATAAGCGAAAAAATCCTTTATAAAAAAAGTTGAAAACCAAACAAGGCTTACCAAAATGACCTGAATTTGACCAAATTAGATTGACTCAAAATGTCTGGTTCGACCATAAATTGAACTTAAAACACAAGTTTGATCCAAAAAACAAACCAAAATGAAAATCAAAATTTAAAACGAATCAAGCTTGCGAAAAACACAAAAATCAAAAAATTTAGATCAAAACCAGGAAAAAATTAAGAACACAAGAAAAAATAAAGAATATAAAGAACATGTTGAGCAACATGAATCGAGATTCAGACCAAATATGAACACGCCAAAGAAATAGGCATGCTGGAAATCAATTGCTAAATAAATAATCAAGTATAAAACATCAACAATTATCAATTAATAATCATGATTTGATGAAAATAGGTTTCGATGTAAAAACAAAACCTTATAATTAAAGCTAAAAAGAATAATTATTGATGCAAACTAACCTTAGATCATTGATTAATCGAGTTACAAAAAATTATTTATGCAAATAATTAAATTAAAAGTTGTCCAAATCATAGAGCTAAGATAATGTTTTTTTTCGAACATTGCCCAAAAAACTTAGAAAATAAAAAACAAGCTAGCAACTAAAAAATGTGCATACTAAGCCCAAAAACCATGCTTTTTTACTCATATAAACCACATTACCATAGTTACACTTGTTTGAGCTAAAACAAACAACAACGAAAACAAACAACAACGATCATATAAACCACATTACCATAGTTACACTTGTTTGAGCTAAAACAAACAACAACCAACATCAAACTATCAAAATCATGCATGATGTTTTAATTATCAAAATTGTCAAAACTAACTGAATACATATTTAACTATTTTAAAATTTAAAATTAATATTTTAACACTTAAAAGGATTTGGACAAAACCCAAGAACCTAGAATGTGTATTAAAAACCTAGAAAAAACATCAACAACCTTATTACCATATTTGGCAAATTTCAAATCTATCTTATTTAATAAAAACAACAATCATCTAAACATCCACCAACATTAACAACTAACTTAAAGTAAGATTAAACAATAAAAAAAAAAAATATTTTTATCAATTAATCAAAATGAAAACTTGAAACAACATAACACTAAAATAAGTTCAAAAACATCATCAAACTTATAAAACAAGCTAGAATTGTGCCTCATAGACATCATTTACTAGATTAATAGAGTATTATACCATCCCAAAATCCAAAATAATTATTGTTTTTCTTTATTTAAAAATCTAATCTCTCATTCAATCTTTAAATTATTCTTTTAGCTATCAAACCCAAGCAATAAACTTGAATACTAATAAACTCAAAAAATAATTTTTTTTCTCTTTCTTCTCTTTTTTCTCTAGATTTCAATAGGAATTTATAGGCTTTTGCTAAGGGTTTTTGATGGATTCAATCGAGTATTAATCATGATTAATCAATGCCTGATTTTTTATTCATTTAAAGATGCCAACTCAATTAACCCAACACTGTCAAAAAAAGAATATGAATAGTGGGTAGATGACATATCATTTGCCCTCTATTCTAAACAGTTTATCTTGAACATGAATTAGATGGTGTGTTGTCTAGATTAACCAAACAAAAATTAGGTTTTTAATTTGGGATTTAGCCAAAATTCAATTGAGTCTCTTATCTTTTGATTCATTTTAATTGCACTTATAATTTCCTTTAAACTTTTAATTTCATGTAATTTTACCCTGATT